TCAGCCAGTCAACAATAATTACTGAGTACATTCTAAAGACTAAGTACACTTCAAGGCCCCGGGAATGCAATGATGGGCAAACCAGCCAAGGCAACTGCCTTTAAAATGCCTTCATTTTTTAGGGGGTGCCAAAATAAATAAAGAGATAAAATTAAAAATGATTGTATTTATTAAATTCATTGAATGTATTCTAAATAAGTCCATTTAAATAGGCATAAAGATTTCTGAATTTATTTGAAAATACTAGTATTATTATAGTCTCCACTTAAAATTATTAAGAAATATTCTCATTTGAGATTTTATGACACCCTTCACTCAATCTCCTTCATCCTCCCCTCAAAATTATCCAAGTTAATGTTGACAGTGTTAGCCACTGTTAAGTGTTTGTTGTATACCCAGTCTTTCTTTGTTCTATGATTTTCAATATCCATCTGCTTATCTGTTGAAAAATACATATCTTTATTTATTTATACCAAAAGAATGAGATGATACCATAGTAATTGGTCTTGATATCCTTTGATGAAAATCCTTATTATTTATTTATTATTTTTTGAGATGGGGATATTGCTATGTTGCCCAGGATGGTCTTAAACTCCTGAGCTTCAGTAATCCTCCTATCTCAGCCTCTCAAAGTCCCAGGATTGTAGATGTGAGCCACAGGCAGCCAGCCAAAATCCTTCTTAATGGAGACATATGTATGCTTTAACAATTTATCGCTGGTATACCATTGCATAAATGTACAGTAATTTCTACTATTTTTCACAGTATACATTGGTATTTGTCAGATTTTAGATATTACAAACATTCTGCAGTGAGCATGTCTCTGCTCATATTTTTATCTTTTCATGATATTATTTCTGTGTCATGGTTTGTAAGAAGTAAAATTGCTGAGTCATGGGATATGTGCTTTTTAAAAATGTTTCATAAATAAAATCAAGTTACTTTTCAAACATTATTATCAATTTATGCCATCACAAATCTTAAAAATCCAGCACATAATATTTTTGTTTGGACGATGTAATAGAAAAAATAAGGGATCGACAGCAACTCATGTTTATTGTCTATTCATATTACTTTTTAAAATTTTTCTTTATAGATTTCTGTTTGTTTTCCTCAAACATTTTGCTTTATGCATTTTTTTCTTATGTTGTTTGTTGCGGAAATACTTTTGACTGTTATGTTTTCATCATTGATTGTACTCTTCAGTGTTTTTAGTCTTAAATATTACTTGATATTGGTAGAAATGTAAATATTACAGTTTTCTTTGTGTCTGTATTTAATTCTGCTATCTTTCCCATTTGTTTTCTTTTAACTTTTCTGTCATCATAGTTTTAGTAATATCTTTTGTTAGATTTCCTAAACTGAATATCTCCTTTTATGGAATAATTAAATTATTTCCATTCATTTTGATAACACATATGCTTGTCATATACCTTTTTTTTTCAATTTTTACTAGTTTATATATTTTTACTATTTCTCATATTTGTATCAATTTTTGCTAGATCAAATCAATTTATTATTTTCCTAGATTTTTATAATTAGTTTTTTTATGTAAAGAAAAATGATCACATACAATATGAACATATGCTGAAAATATTTCAGAAAAATAATTAACCCTAATTTTACTCTTGAGAGGTTTATCTATAAATATTTTGCTACAATACATTTTTGTATGATTTTATTTTTATTGATTTATTTTAGATTCGGGGGTATGTGGGCAGGTATATTACATAATGCTGACGTCCAGGGTACAAATGATCCCATTACTCAGGTACTGAGCATGGAACCTCAAAGCCCATTTTTCAACCATTCCTTTTCCCTCCCTTAGCTCTTTAGTAGTCCTCAAAGTCTATTATTGCTGTCTTTATTTTCATGAGTACTAAATATTTAGCATCTACTAAAAGGTGAGAATATACAGTATTTGGTTTTCTGTGTCTACATTAATTCGCTTAGGATAATGGCTTCCAGTTGCATCCATGTTGCTACAAAGGACATGATTTTGTTCTTTTTTATGGTCGTGTAGTATGCCACAATGTGTATGTATAACATTTCCTTATCCAATCCACTGTGGATGGGCACCTTGGTTGATTTCATGTCTTTGATATTATAAAAATAGTGCTGTGATGAACTACGAGTGCATGGGTATTTTTGGTGGAATGATTTGTTTTCTTTTGGTTATATACACACTAATGGTATTGCTGGCTTAAATACTAGTTCTGTTTTAATTTCTCAGAGAAATCTCCAAACTGCTTTCCATAGTGGCTGAACTAATTTGCATTTCCACCAACAGTGTATAAGTATTCTATTTTCTCTGCAGCCTTGCCAGAATTTGTTGTTAAAATATTTTAATGCCAATTTTTTCTTTTTGTGTATTATTTGTGTACATACCTGTACGTGTGATGGGGTGTTTTTGTGCATATACAATGCAATCTTATATCCTGTCACTTCTGTAACATTTTCTTCATGATGATTTTCTCATGCCACTAAAATAGCATAAATGTTATATGTTGTATATTTTTATTTAATATGTTTATGATTTTATATCAGATATAATTTTTAATATATTACTTGTAATAATCTATCTTGTGTATTGTTTGAATTGTTTAAAATTTTTCATTGTTTAAATATTGTCACTCATGCTGTTCATCTATCATACATAATAAACAAATATCTTTTTTCTTCCTCAATATTTATAACTAGAATTCAGAATCCTCATGAAAAAGTTAAATATTGTATATTTTAGATGAAATCAGTTACATTAATCCAATTCATACTAAATTTATATGAGGAATTTTATTATAAAGATTCAAAGGTGTCATATATAAATAAAATACTAAACTGAGTAGATCTTAAGAATATATCTTCAAGGACATTCTCATTTTTTGACCTCTCTAGAGTAATACATTATAGAAATAATGCCCATCAGTTCTTCCTGAGCTTCTTAGAGTTCAGGTACACAAAACATTACTGGTTGGCCCTAAAACTTAGCATGAGCCTCTTGGGCTTGTTTAGTTTAGATGTATTCCATGGATAAATCAATTTTGGTAGGCAATTGGGTGATCTAACAGACAAAGTTACATCGATGGTGGAATGGAAGTGGAATTTATGACATATAGATACATATTTCCACATTTATTTTTAGGAATATTATGCAACTAAATATTGCCATCTGAATTTTGCAAGGTACCCATTTCATATTACCAAATAAACATATAAAAGTATTTATGAAAACTGCTATGAGGTTACAGCAAGATGGCATCCATCTGCAAACCAGGAAGAGGACTCTCATCAGAATCTGAATGAGCTGGCAGCTTGATCTTGGACTTTCCAGTCCTCAGAACCATAGGAATAAATTTCTATTGCTTAAACCATTCAGTAATGGTATAGTTATTACAGTAGCTTAAAATGACTAAGATAAATATATTTTATGTTAATGAAATCTATATAGTTTTAATTTATATTTATCTTGTTCCTAGTGAACATGACCATACATAAATTTGAAACCTCAGTGGAAATTCCCACATCTTCTTATCAGAAAGGAGTATGGTAGACAAAAGGAGAGTTTGAGTATATATAAAAGTTGTGTTATGGGCCAGTATTGTGTCTTAACCTCCTATACTTTTCTTAAATCTAGCCACATCTGTACTACATAGAGAACTATTTCTACAAAATTTCTCTCATATGAATAGCACAGATGCCTGAGTACTCAACTGTGCTGCAGAATTTAATTTTTGCAAATTCTATGCAGTCCTTGTGGCATATTCTAGAGACTACTTTGTTAAAGTCACCAATGACCTTCAAGATGGCCAAATTGAAATCATTTAGTCATCTCATTTTACTTAAAAGCTACCAGTAGCATTCCTCACAGTTGATTACTATTTCCTTAAAACTAACGTTTGCATTGGAAGGAAGGATTTATGAGGCATCTCATTTTCTTGGCTTTACAATCTTCTGCCAGGAGCTTGTTTGCTATCTCCTTTTTTAGCTGTTGCTTCTCAGGTCAACCCTGATCTGTCCTGGGACTCTTTATCTGTATAAGCTCTCACATGATCTCTTGTAGCCCTTGCTTATAAATGGCATTGATATGCCAATGCCTCCCAAATCGGTTGTGATCCTGACTCCACATTTTATACTTGCACATCTCACTATCTCTATTTGTATATCTAAAACTAATCCAAATTTTATAAACAATTTCCCCAATCTGTCCCTCCTCCTCAACTTTACTTAACATCTTAGACCAATTACTTTCATTTCAGTATCTTCTTAATATTTTCCCTGATTTTACATATCTCCTAGAATCAATTTTTTACATACTAACTAGAGCGGTATTTGTATCTTCCTCCCTCCCATCAATGCTTCCTTTTTCCCTTTGTTTTTAACCCAGAAACAATGTGTCTGTAGGTGCCTGCATGTCACCTTTATCTTCCCCCGCACTAGCTTTCTCCTCCTCTTCTAGTTCTTTCTTCTCCCACTTACCTGACACTAAGAAACTCATGATAGCAAAATACATGCACCCTTGACTTATTGATATCTGTTTATTCTTTCACAAAAATACACACTTGTTCTTGTTTTAATACAAAACCAAATCCTAATCTACTATCTTGTTTTAATATACATTTTTATATAATAAAACAACTAGAAAATCCTACCTAATCAATGTGTATGAAATTTATTATTTTAATAGGTATATGAAAGTCTATGAAATATATCATGATATATCATAATTATGATATACACCATAATATATGCAACTATTTTGTTATTGAAAATCACTTTCTTTGTTTCTAGCTTTTTTATAATTATAATGTTAAGCTAAGAATGCTACCTTAATGTTACATTAAGTGTTCTTGTAAATATCAGTTTATGCTAGTAATTTTACTCTACATAACAAGTCCCAGGAATGCAATGGCTAGATATAAGATTACATGTAATTTTAATTTTAATAGATATTACAAAATTTCATTCAAAAAAGGGAATAAAACACAGGAATGTAGTTATTGTTCATCTTTTTTTCTTTACTCATAATAATATATCTTAATTTTATTCCTTTTGGTAAATTAATTACATGTCATCCAATTGCATTAATTTATTTGGCAACATATTAGAAATGTAGATTTGGCTCTCCTATTTGCATTGTTTTGGCATTTATCCCAAGGCTACTTATTAGAATTGAAAAATACAGGGTAAAAATGCTTGAAAAATATCAATATCACCTAAATATTTTTTATAGCCTAACAAATGCTCTATCATTCTTTTAAGATATAAAAAGTTGCAGAATTAAATTATTTTATCTACTTATTAAGGTTGAACCCAGAAAAATTATGAAATTTCTCTCTAATCCTTTTTACATTTGTATCAATTTCCACATTTCCACAATTTCTACAGTTATACCAGCTATTCAAGACACACATCTTCAAGTGAGGAGCTAAGTTGGTATTCTGTTCTGCCAGGCATAATCAACATCAGCTCTAGGCAAGTTGCCAGAGAATCAGATAATTAAGCTTGAAAAAACATAAGATAATATCTTGCTTATTCCCTTTCTTTCAAAGGTTAAATAAGTGAAGTTAAGGGAGTCTGAATAATTATTTGTCCAATATTCCAAAGTTCTTTTAGTTGAAGGTGCCTTACAGTGGTTTGGAATAAGGTGTTAATTGTGATAGAGTCCACACAAATATAGGCTTCACATTTCATTGACTAGAAGACGCCCTTCTGTTTGTAACATCCTTATATATGTCTTATAATCAGTGATAATTTATTGATCCTTGTTTTTAACAGGACCATATTTCAACTCAGCTGAATTTGAATACAGAAACAGGGTTATGATCATGGAGCTACTTTTAGGAAATTATTACCTAATAATTACCTTAAAATTTTACCATCATACATAAAATAATAAAATTACATTATCAGCTTCAGGTAATATCAGTTTTGATATTCAATATATATCCCATGACTAGTGTAGGTCAGCGTTTCTCATAGTAAATATCATATAGATCTTCTCTTAAATATTCTCTTGAATATACTAAGTTCACTAGAGGCATAATTTTACTTAAATATGTTAACATCAAACTAATTATACAACCCCATATGCTTATAGCTCTTATGTAAACACAAACCAAAAAAAAAAAGAAAGAAAAAAAAAAAGAAATCAAATGAAAATACAACAGGCAAAATATCCAAATTTCCCATCTTGATTTAATACAACAGATGATGTTGCTTTGCTGAAATCAAATCCTATCTCAAACATGAATTTGTTTATGAGTGTTTGTGTGTCAACACTGATCTCCACATGCCTGAAGTTTACAATGACTATGAGTGCACTATGGTGATGCTGTTCTTCTACCACTTTTTCCAATTTAACTATGTAGCACCTTCGTTCACGCAGCACACCATCATATCGCTTGGCATTAACTGAGAGTGAACAAGTGCGTGTTAAATTTTTATTATTCAAAAATAATAAAAGCACTAGTGCTGGGCACCAATATGATAATAAACATGAATGTAAACCAAAGTGATAAATAGTGGCAACACTAAGTTACAAATTACCCAGTTATATGGTTATACAGATGATAAAAATATGCTTAAGATTATTACAATAATGAAAAGGAAAATTTTGAATCCCAAAATATACTCAGTGATGACTATGAATACATCCCAGACACATATGAAAAGTAGTGGAATACATATTTGGTTTGTTTGTTATTTCAGGATGACGTAAGACTAAAAACTTGATTCATAAAAGCTCAGGTAAGGCTGAGTTGCTGGAACCCAGAAGTCAATCTAATTTGTGGGGATTTTTCAATCGAGTGATTGGAAGTTATTCAGACATAGTAAAAGCATCCAAAGATTTTTATGACAGGAAGTAGGGAGTCCAGTGGAAAGGCATGTGGAGGTAGTAATATATAGTAGGTAAACTCAGGAAAGATTTACCTACTCCTGGAAGAACTCGACTGAATGAATCAGGAAACTGATTTAGAACCCAGAGGTCTAGCCACTGGTCTAGGAGAGGAGCAAGACCTTGGTTTCACATGTCAAGGTGACAACACTGTCCTGAAATTTTGTGTGAGCCAGAAGCAGATGAGGAACAATGCTGAGCAGAAACCTATTATCCAAATTTGAGTTAAGCAAAGCAAGACAAGTGGGATAAATCAGTATAAGAGGAAAACTTAAAGAATCTGATTTGAATTGCAGTTGTAAAGGATGAATTGAAGGGGCAATTGCAGTTGTAGAAAGGGCAAAATTGAAATTGTAGCAAGATGAACTGCAATTTTTTAGACTAATGACACTTCTTTATTTACATTTTTAATTATAAATTGTTCGGCTAGAAAGTTGCCAATTGAACACAAATAATCTATAATCATTCCATAAAATATTTGAAATATTTTCTAAACAAGAAATGATTCTGCACATTTATAATAAGCAGGTATATATTTAACCTCATACATTAAACCTATTGTTCAAATTATTGAGAGAAAAAAATTATTTTTTAAATTAGGGTGACTTGGTTCCACAGAAACAATTCATTCCAAAATCGTTACCAGTAGTCTTGCAAAATAAAAATTGATTTAAATAATAAGAATAAAAGGAAGGATATAACAAGTACTTGCAACACAATGGCAAAGTTAAAGATCCACTGATACATACATATATTCAAACTTTGCCACTAGAAGCACAGTGTGACAGTCCACGTAGATGATATTCTGTTCCATGGGACAAGTCATATATCTGTGTTTCCTGTTTCCTGAACTGGATATTGAATTTTATCCTGTAGACGAAAATTTAAGAATTTCATTAGAAGTATTTTGATAGAAAAATATTGCAAAAAACCTCCTAAATTACATTATTATAGATTTAAAAAAAAAAAACCCTACATCATCTGGTCTTTTCACATATGGTGCTTCTTCTACTTCCCTACAAGCTTTCTCAGTATAGATTATTAATACAAAAAACGTTATCTCCTTTCTAATAACTAACTGCAAGCTTACAAACCTTCAAAAGACGTACTAGAAATCATACAGGTTACTAGTTCTTTCCGAAGTTGACATGTGCAGAGAATGCCTGCATTTTCAAAATATAAACACAAAACAATATTTTTACAGTAGTTGGAAATTGATTTAATTTTCATGCAATGTTTAGTGTAGATCAATTAAATATTTTTCCTCTGATAGAATTGTGTCCATACTGAATTCTAACAAATTACTGGGTGATGTGCTCCACAGAGTATAGAAGTTTTGTAAATTATCGCTTTCTCCCGAGACTTGCAGACTCCCCCAAGTGGATATCTGAGAAATTTAGCCAAGTGCCTCTAAATAACTCTGACACTTCATAATGAGCTTTGAGCAAACCATACCAACTTTTTTTTCCCCTTTGTTTGAACTGAAGCATAATACAGGAAGAATGACTATGTGAATGTGGTACTTCCGCTTTCTACCATCTATAAGTTATAATTTACTCACACTACTATTGACTCTCTTCTCTTTTTTCCCTCTTTCAAAAAGTGAAATCAAACTGTCAGATTTATTTAAGGAGCTTATTATGAATTGCAGGGCCACTGCTACATAAAATCCTACATATGAGACACACAAAATGGAATGTATTGCAATCTCGATTCCCAAATAAACAAGATTAACACAGTTTATATCAAAGTGCAGTTTGTTCTGACATAGGGGCATCAGAATGTCTGGAATCTGCTTTAACCAATTAAGCCTTTCAAGGCAAAGGAAAAATAAAGCCTTCAGTAAATCCATTGAAGGCACCATCTCCCAGCCTCCCACTGCCTGTTATCGATCTTTTTAAGTGCCGACTAATGAGTCGTATATATACCTGATGGGATGCTCTCACTCCACCACCTCAGAGGGGCTAAACTTACACAAAGAGAGAATCAACTGGGTGGTAGGCAGGGTGGGAGGGCACAGCCGGTCTGATGGCTGCCTTGGACCCTTGAAAACCAACCAGAAAGTCTGTCTCCAGGGAACGCAGCAGACCCGGTTCCCTACTTTCCGTGACAAACCCATTAGTTCGTGTGCAGGAGATTTTTCCATTCAGGTCGCTTCTAGGGCGAACGCTTTTGTTCGCTACCACTCTGTAGTGCGAGAGGAACTAGAGAGACATGCAAAGCAAGCTCGAGGCAGCAGCGTCTTTGCCGCAAAGCATCCCTTTTCCCTCAGCTTTAGCAATTTAGGAAGAACTGAGGTTCTCAGGGGAGGTGGGGTGAGGAGAATGCCAGGAGGAGGGACACATAAATCAGGAGTCCCTGCTTTTACCCTCTACCCACTTGCACTCGCATCGCCACTACTACCCTCCCCCGAAACTATCATCAACACAAGCACTTACGGTATCTACAAATGTGTGGGAGCAGGGGTGGGTGGGGGGCACATTTTCTTTCCTCGCCTTTCCCTAAGACTGAACAGGGTACCAGCCTCCATACCAAAAACACATTAAATAACAAAATCAAATAAACCAAACCCAGTGGATAGCAATTATCTTGAGAAAGAAGCCGCTGCTGGCACCGGCCTGGATTCGCTGCAGTCGGAAGCGGGTGGCTTTCGGTATTGAATTATTAATTTATTTATCCCCCTCGCCCCCACCCCCACGCCGACTGCCAGGCAAGAAATCGCGGCCTCTTCGCTTCCTCTCCGCCCCCACCTTCCAGGAGTCTCCCACTTGGCGGTGGCCGTCGCGTCCCCGGCTCTCTGCGGCAGTGGCGCCGCGCGGGGCGCTCCCACTCGCGCTCGGGCTGGCGCAGCCGCGGGTCCCGGCGGTGGGGTGGGCGGGGGAGGCAGCGGGTGACAGATGTACTCCTCTGACAGCTCTCAGTATCAGCCCAGTGGCTCCCTGCCATTGGCTCAGTGCAATGGACCGGCAACGCCGCTCACTATAATAACACTCATGCCTGCCAGCAGCAGCAACTCCGAGTGCAGGCGCCGAGCGCGGGGGATGCTGCCTCTGCCGCCGCTCCTGCTGCCGCGCAGGCGGCTCCCGCAGCCCCGCTCCGCCCGGCCGCCGCGCGGGCACTGACTCCCGCTCGGCTCCGTTTCGCCGGCCCGGCCCCCTCCTAGCCTGGAATCCTCCCGCGGGGCTCGTCGTCCCGACGCGAATTAGGAGAGAAACACAGAGGAGCGAGAGACTGAGGAAGAGCGCGGCGAGCATGCGGAGGCGGGGGAGCCTCGGCGCGCATCACAGAGGGGTGCAGTGAGCCGGTCTCCAGAGGACGTGCCGGGGGCGGCTGCGTGCCCTCGTGGCGGGTCCCCAGCCCACCCTCGCCAGCCCCGGCGCGCTGCGGCTGTGGGCGCGGGGTGCGTGGAAGCGGCGGCTGCGGCGGAGGAGGCGGTGGCTGCCCCATGGAGTGTTACTACATTGTCATCAGCTCCACGCATCTCAGCAACGGACACTTTCGCAACATCAAGGGAGTTTTCCGGGGCCCTCTCAGCAAGAACGGGAACAAAACTCTGGTAATCGCTTCTGTTTTCCTCTCTCTCTCTCATTTTTAAGAGGGCATTTGGAAGATTGAGTTTTTGGAGGTGTTGAGATTCAATTTGGTTTATAATTTACTCATTTATTTATCTGGTGGGCGTGGGGTGAGAATTGTGTGTAGAAAAAGGAAGGGGTCTTAGGGAAGCTGTGATCCATGGCTTTCGTTGACACTTCCACAATGCTCTGGACCTTCTCACTTCACTCCATTACGCTGAAGATTACCACAGTCTCTCCTTATTTGAAGCAAATATATCAACAGGACCTGTTTTAAAAGAAAAGAGAAGAACTCTAACCCCAAGTTACCCCATAACCTCTTTTGTTTGGCTTAGGAGCCTGAAGGTGAATGAGGATGTGGCTGTCTCTGATGGAGGCGGGGAACCATGTGGCTGGTCACAAGCAGGAAGTGGCGGGATTGAGTGATGGTCTGAGAAAGAGTCTGTATTCCAGCTCTTTTCTGAAGGACTGATAGCAAACTTCTCTAGTGAGAAGTTGTCAGTGCTAAGCTTAAGAGTGACTCCAGAACCTTATGCTGTCCACTTTCAGCTATTCTCTGTAAAGTGGTGGTGGATATGTGTGAAGCACTATCACTATGTCACCATTAGAGCCACTAGGGAAAACGTGAGGCAAATAGAACCCATGCAGTTGCTGGAAGGTTCTCACTGGATCACAGAGCTTCGTTTTTCAGGATCCTAGTCGGAAGAGCACTCCTGATTGGTGGGAGAAGATGTGCTGAGCACTGAGATAGTGCAGGATGATAGCTCCTACTTCTCACCCAAATCCCCCTTTAGCTATAAAACCTCCCTGCAAAACTGACTTTCATGTATTGGTATGTTTGGAGAAGTATACAACTCCATAAAGTAAAAAAGGAAGTAGAATAAAGGCTCATTAGGCTTAGTACTTCAAAGAGTGAAGACAAAGTGAGGTGGCAGTATACAAATGTATGATTCACTGAAGCAGGCTCCCTTCTCCTTTCTTACACAGTGGTAACTTAGCCTGAATGAGGAGAGTAGAAGTTTAAGGACAGACTCAGATAGTCCAAAAGTAAATATAGCATTCTTGATCGAATTTTCTTGTTGTATTTTAAAATGTTTCTTTATGAATACAGAATATACACTGTGATGTGTTTTCCAAGAATGAAAAGTTCTCATCTAAAGTTTTACGTAAATTCTTGATGCATTTAATTTCATTTTTTTTTTTACCTTGAATCTCTTGGCTACTTGCTTTCAGTCTACTTAAGACTCTCAAAAGCAGGACTAGTTTATTGCCTTTATTGTTGTTATGGATGTGGTTGTTGGTTGTTGTTGACCAAAAGAAAGTGAAAATACTCTTCTGCAGTCTTCTTTAGTAGAGTACCACAAAGAGCAGTAGCCAAAGTCTAAAGGAATTGTTGAAATTGTTCTGGCCCCACTTAGAGAAGTCAATTATGTAGGAACGTAAAATTTTGGGGAAAAAACTTTCAGTTTGAAGAAAGTACACACTGTTTTTGCAATTAAATTTCACTTACGATAAAAGGCAAACTTAATGCACAAGTTTTCATTTCCATACTTACAACAATGGTGTGGGTGATAAAGCTCACAGTGGGGTTTATAGAAAAAAAAGTTATTTGCCATACCTCAACCTGTTAAAATTCTATAGGTCTTGATTCACAAGTTAATCTTAGGTTCTAACAATGGTTGAATTTGCTTATGCTGATGTGTTTGTTGTGTGTTTGGAGTTGGTTCATTCTTTATGACTTATATTTACAAAAGGTAGGTTAACGTCTAGATTTGCCATTGTAATCTTGTGAGTAAATTGGATTCTAAAAAACAGCTATCTAAATGAGATGAATAAACCTAAATATAGACAAACATCAGAAAGAACAAACAAAGATAAAAAGGCTTTGAAATAACTCCATAATTATCTTAGTTATCATGAAAGAGACTTCAGGCACTTCTGAGCTAGTCCTTCCAGATGATGTTAAAACTGCCCAAGTTTGTATTTCCTGTGTATGAGATTTGCACTGACTGAAAAGAAGTAAATTTTCATATATGATGTGAATATATTTGAAACTACTTCTTTACAATATAATACATTAATCTATAATATGTGCTTTCTAGATGTCTTCTCATGAGTATAATTATGGAAAATGATGAGATTTATGCCTGTCTTTAAGTATAACAGAAAAGATTCTAGATCTATTCATAAATTAATGATTTTAATTTTAAAAAGAACTGTCTATACTTACCCCAAAATGATTCTTTATAGCACAGAGGATGCTGTGAGCACTTACATATATGCTAAAACATACTGTCACTTAAAAATAGGAAACTGGATCTGAAACTTCTAAGAATTAGCAACTTCAATGAGAAATACAAACATCATCTTAAAAGGTATATATGGCACATTTATAAATTTTCAAGTAAGAATTTATGCTTATCATGGTTCTACAGCTTTATTTTTTATTTTTTAAATTGACAGATAAACTTATCTGTGTTTATCATGTACAATGATTTTAATCCCAGTTTTATGGAGTAATAATTATGATATCTTTCCTACTTTATTTTATATTTTATTTTAATATATTTGAATTTTGCCATTAGGAATCATCACATTTTTGTATTTTGAATTGCGTACCAAGTTCTAAGGATTTTGATAGCATGGCAAATTTTTTTTTTTTTTACTTTGGAGAAGTGCAACCCTTAAACATAAAATTACTCAGCGAAAAGGTACTTTGATTTCTCCAAGACCTTTTAGTTACTTTCTATCAATAGAACTTAATGGCTATTTGAGAAAATTTTAAATTCAAATTTAAAAAATAATTTTATAATCTCTGAAAAATTACAGGATTAATTTAAGATAGCCTGTAACTGTTAATACAGTCTTCTTTTATGAGTTAGATGTTACTTACAAAATAACCAGGGTACTTCATATTTTATTGCCAGTGATTAATTGCTTTAATCCTAAATCCAGAATGTAATCCTGCCATTCATATTGAGAAGATAGTCAAAATATATAGTTCCTTCTCTAGGTCATATCGTATCACGCAAACATAGAATTTTGGAAAATAACGTTCTTGAAGACTAAGCCTCTTGTTAATGTTGACCCTATTTATGAGCTTTTAAATATATTCCTTTTGCCAATTATAATGAAAAATATGTAAATTTTCTTTTTACAATGTCTTACAAGTAAAAAGAAAAGTCAATCTGTTTATCATGATTTCTGTTAAAAACTGTAACATATCTGCGATATAGCTTTAATTTCATGGAACAAGAAGTAAGTGAATATTTCATAGTTCTCCAGAATATTTCTGGATAAGTTATAGAGCTTAACAGAAATGAATAAAGTTTATCTCCCATCTAAGCTCATTCTTTTTATTTAGATTTTCCCAATTAACCATTGTGTAAGCAATTGCTTACTGAATAAAGACATTTAGGTACATCTTTTTTTGCAATTGATTTACAAAGTTTATTTGTCTTAATTATATAGTTAAATAAATACAGAATATTTCTGTATATTACATATTTAACATGGAATTTAAATATTCCTTTAATCACTTTAATATGTAATTTGGGATTTGTCTTGGGAAACTTGGAAATCATTACTAATTTGTTCATTATATTCTGTTAGTTGGTCAGCATTTTAGTATCTTATAATAACATTATATCTATTTCACTGACTATGGAATTCAAAAGAATCAGTGATGGTTTTGAGGTCATACAGGGAGTCAATATTATCAAGCAGATTTCCTGACTCCAGACATATTTCCTTTATAATTTATATGCCAAATTATGGAATCTCTAGGGATCATTATGATAATATGACTAAGAGATGGTATTGTGCTATCTGTTTGGTTGAAGGCACTTTATTTTTCCAATTATCTCCAGATATAGATAAATAGTGACAGAGTAATTTGTTTAAATTTGTTTTACTACTCATCCTCCATATGCAAATATCACTCATTTCTGTCGGGCCTAAAGGCCTTCTTTCTAATATATGAAATACTACATTCGGCAAGAAAAGAAATGTTAATTTACTAATCGGTTCACAAAATATGTGTTATTTAGTTCCTTCAAATTTATTGAGGTGCCTCAATTACAAAGCGCTGTTCTAGGCACCATAGGCTCTGTATTATGCACTAAATAATACATGCTAAGAAGCATTTTGGGCTGCTCTTGTTCATTTTGAATCTGTTGAAAAAATATTCACATCTTTTGACATGTTTGTAGGTTTCTTGTCACTCAGGACGTTGTGATGTGTGTTAATTTTGAAAAACCTGAAAAAAATCTGTTATTTCCCTTGTGTATGTAGGAACTCACTAAAATTAGGCAGGCTTTTGAAACACTATTTGGCCTTTTGTTTTAGTTTTCATTGTTGAATATAACTTACTTTTCATATAATTCCCTTGAACATTTTCTAAATCTCTTGGAAAATGTAATATGAAAGACTTCTCATCGAAACCCATTTAGGTGACACTTTAAGAGTATGCATGTAAGACTGAAGAGATCAACTGGTGAATAGGTGCTGTTGGAAAAGTTATTATTTTTTAGGTTAATGTCCTCAAGAGAGCTCAGGGGTGAGGGTGGATTAGGGTGAGATCCTAATATATCTTCAGATTTTCCCACTTTATAAACTTCTTCACACAAGCAGTCCAATTATATATTCTTCCAAATTTCATTTAAACTCTTATGTATTCAATATTGAAGAGCATCTTGTGTCTCAATTTTCTGAACTTAAGGTGTCATATA